CCAAGTTCTTGGATCGTGGACACAAGGCTTTAAAACACGTATCCAATTGGGAGCTCCAGTCGGGACGTAGCCGGTGGTCCAATGAGAAAATTTCTTTTCAAAAACGTATTATACAGGGTGTCTCATTTTAAATGATCCACGCAAATATTTCCCCCAAAATATGAAAGATACGGAAAAACGTTTCAAACGAAAGTTGTTTGGTTCGAAGGGGGACACAAGGTGGTGCCACTGACTTGACCTTGGATAGTTGTTTGAAGGTCACGTGAAGGTCATTAGGCTAAAGCCCGATCTACAGTGCGTTCTTTGTGTCTAGAAGCATTTTGTTTTACAGCCAATAAACACGTTTAAAAAATCTGTGCGTGTTCAACTGCATATTGCACGTTGCACAATCGTGTATTGTCGACAAATTTTTTAAGCATATCGATTTGCCTGCATAAAACAGAATGTTCCTCGTTGCGAAAAGCGAATTGTAGATTAGACTTAAATGTCAATCGAATGATATCTCTGTATTACTCAGCTGTCACTCGCGCGCCATTATTTCCCGACGCGGATGGAACGGTTAATCCCTCGTAGAAAAGGGAGAAAAGATCGGAGCCGACGAATTTTATGGATCGCAAAAATATCTAGGCCGGTTGCGTCGGCCGTGCCGACCGCCTTTGGGGTAAAAGTTTCGTTTTTCTCCTCGAGACAACCTTCACGCCAAATCACTGACGTTGCTCGCATAATCGGGCTCGTGCTATTTCAATAGATTCGCCGTTTATTTCGGGCTGACAGGCAGAAGGAAAAAGTATCGCATGTCATCAAGATATACATACGACTGTATGCGGTGATCAATGCATATTCGCGCGATGGCCAGTGAGTGATGCATCGCATAAATTCACAAAGTAGTATACCTATTTTAAGCCTCGAGTCACATTTAACGAGAGCTAAGAAAACGCTAAGGGGCATGTATAATTGTTTATTATCGCCGTAAATGCCGATAACATGTCTGAAAGTCACTTAGGTGTTGCACATGCGTTTTTCGCCCTTGCGGATAAATAGACCGAGTCGCCCGACACCGGTGTGCATTACCGCCGCGTCCGGACACCTTCGTCCTGGACGGAAGATCCCGGAAGAGGAACGTCTCGCTATCCGTCCGCGCGCCACGCGTACACGCACGCATCTGCGTCGTGTTTGGTGGTGGTCTCTTACCACCAATACCACCGCCGTCGATTGCCGCCGATTGCCGCCGCCGCCGATCGCCGCACGCGCGATGTCGCATTCCGCGGCCGCCGGTCGTACGCTACGTACGTACAAGTCCCGTCAAATGGAGTATCTGTTGCAAGTAAGTGGTAATCGCGGTCGTCCGGTCCCGATGGGTAGTAAGGTCGAGTCAAGTTCCGAGGGATCCTCAGGTGATTCCTCGTCGCGGAGAGGACCTCGCGCCTGCGGACTGCATCCCCGAGGGACTCCCGGGCGCTTTCGTTCGACGGGAAAGACCTCGCACCCCCGAGTCAGGGATTCCCGGGCGTTTTCGTTCGCCGGACGGCACCTGGGGCTCGATCGTGTCTCTTTTCCTCTAGCGTGAACTCGCGGAAGGTGAATAGTTTCGTTGAAGAATCCAGAGACACGGTAGTGTCTCGCGCCAAGCACAAGCATAGCGAATATTTCGCTATTCGTCAATGGAATCGTTCAACTTTCGCGAATTCGCGCGGATCTCGCGATCGGGCCCCTGATTTAAAAAGCCGTGGAAAAATCGGGGGGCCACGTCGACGCGGATATCGGAAAAGAGATAGAGAGAGAAAAGAAAACGCCGTTGCTACGACCCGTTACATACCCGCGTTCGTCGTTGGATAAAGTGTTAATTACGAGTTGTCCCTGACGCGAGGACTTGGAGCAGGACTTTGATCCTGGCGGACTCCGGCTGCGAAGTACCTGGACTGTATATGTACACTGTAACATTAATTCTCTGTAGACCCGCCTTTCGCTTTATCTCCCGCCTGCCCTTCCTGCGTGAGATAACGGCTATCTTTAGAAATCCAATTGGATTAAGTCGTTACGTTTCGTCGGCCGTCGTCCCGAAACGAAATACCCGCGGCAAACGTCCCGCCGGATCGAGCCCGGCACGAGGATTCGTGAAACCCAGAACCACTCGGGGGTCAATTCTGTATCTTGCAGCAAAGTGAAGATGCCAAAAGCGAGGCGGGTTTGTCTCTTTTTCAAGGGGGCAGAAAGAGACAAGGCTACTCACTTTTAGCATTTTCACTGTAGCGTAAGATACAGGATCGACCGCCTGGTCCCTCCAGAATTTCTCCTCCCCTTTGGATCGGTCCCTCCCTCCCGTGGGAGCTTTCCTTCGCCTCGAGCAGAAAAATGTACGCGAGAGAATTTTTTTACGCGGCGACTTATGCGAGAGCGCGTTAATCTGCCGTTATGTAAGCTGACGATAGGCGAACCCACACGCGGACTCGAGAGTGCGGCGTCACGTCGGGACGTTAATCGCGGTGCCGATCTCGTTGGCCGTTTAACCCCCGTCGATTTCGCGCGATCACTTGCATATCTTTCCACGAGTTCTCGAGAACGACGACTGTTCCCTCGGTCCCCGTGACGATCGCGTCCCGACGCGCGATTGTTCCCCCTGACAATGAGAGATACGGAGAAGTGTGAAACGGAAACGGAGCTCGGCGACAAATCCTGTCAGAGTATCCACGTGTCAAAATAGTAAATAAGCGTTTCGTGAGGCGGGACGTCTTGCTTCCGCGACGACCTTGCCGCGAAGGTCGGCAGATCTCATGTTAATGAAATCGCGCGTTCCGGTCAGGAAACACAGGGTGACCTTCAGTCGAGCCTCGCGAGAAACTCCTCTTTTTTTTTCTCTCCTGTCATCGTTGGAGTTTACGTAAGAAACGATCAAGTTCTGCTAAGTTTTCCGATGTTCCTCCCTCCTCCCGTCGCCCCCTCTCTCCCATCCGACAATTATTTGTTTTGCACGTCACGACGTACATTGTAACAACCGAGGCGAGGTAGCACGCGAGACGGCGGATCGCAGGAATGGTTTTCGACTTGGGTCCGGTTTAAACTTACAATTAGCTTAATTCGTTCTTTGTCGCTTTCCAATTGTTAAGCCTAATCTACTGTGCGCTCTCTGCATCTAGAAAGATTCTATTTTGTATAAGCAAATCGAACCGCTTAAAAAATTGGTCGACAATGTACGATTGTACAGTGTACAATTTATCCACTTGCGCAGATTTTTTGTAACGTATTTTATTGGCTACAAAATCGAATGTTGCTAGACGCAAAGAGCACATTGTAGATTAGGCTTAACTTTAGAAAGAGACCTGGATTGAACTAAAGCCAACGGCACGATACTATTTTTCCTACTGGATTGCTTACGAGAGCCATCCAAGATTTAGCCTTTATCTGATCTAGAACTGTGCTTCCCGATTGACTCTCGTAAGCAGTCCAGTAGGAAAAATAGTATCGTTGGCTTAAGATTAAAGTTAAGCGACGTTTGGTGAAACCGGGTCTTGGTTGTAACGTGTCGCTAGGCGGCTTCCCAAGTGGCGCGAGATATTTGGCTGATTATTTCTCCCTCACCACCTGTTATCATAAATGCTTGCAACGGCCGTCACTTAAATTAGGCATAATATTTCATTATTCGGCGGCTCCAAAGTCTCCTCTTTCCATGACCAATTCTCCTAATCTTTCCCGATACCGCAAGTAAACGTAACTAACGAATGTTATTTTAACCAGAGATAAAACTTTTAGTAGGAGATAAAATTCATGCGACGCGGACTCCGTTCCTCGGAATTATCTTATCACGTAGCTGTAAAAGGGTCAACGGGTTGGGAGAGGATCGAGAGAGGAGGAGGGGGCCATCGTTACACAAGTGTCCGTTGTTTCGTCGATTTTATTACAAATTTAACGATCCTCGACGCGCTAATGTGCCGGAAAAGGCGAATTAATTATTTTAACGCGCCAAGAGCGCCCGGCGTTTTCCTCGGCGATAGACCCATAGAGAGACTCATTTTGTTAAATGAAACAAAATTTAGTTGACTCAACTGAATTTCTTGTTTAGATCTGAGCAAACAAATCTTTCAGTTGATACAATAAAAAAAATTTAGTTGGAAAATTTGGTTGAGTGAATATGCGCAGAATCTTTTTATAATATTCAACTAAACGATTCAGTCAACAAAATGATTCAATCAAATTGTTTCGTTTTATTCAACAAAATGGGTCTCAGTGCAGTTTCACTTATTCTGCTGATTGTCGCGAAAGAACCGAAAGAACCGTCCCGGCCCGTGACGGGGTACCTTATATACAGGATAAGGAAGAAGTATGAAAATCCTTAAATTTTTCGAAAACTGTGCATTTTAGAAACACATGTTTGAGACAAAAGTTGTACGGTTTCAAGGGACATAAAATGGTATCATTGGTTTGACTTGGATAGCCGTTTAAAGGTTACATGAAGGTTATCTTGAATTTTTTAAACGGGAGAACCTCCATTTCTTATTATATCATCCTTTTCTACTAATTGATTGGAACAACTTTTGTCTGAAACATTTTTTTCTTTGTCTATTAATTTTTGAGATATTCAAAGAAAACTTGAGAGATATTCAAACAACTTTTTCAATATTCATCATACGATATCTCGATAACTGTTTATCGTGAGGAAAAATGATACTGGATTGTTTTACTTGATTTGGTGTCAAGAATATGCTGTTGCAATAGTACTTCAATTTTTATAAACATTTGTGTATACATGAAAACTCCAAGGAGATGCGTACACAAATGTTTACCAAAGTTGGAGTACTATTGCAACAGCATATTCTTGACACCGAATCAAGCCAAAAAGTCCTGTTGTAGAAGTTTAAAAAATATATAAGTAATTATTAATGTAACTATTGAATTATTATAGTTACTGCACTGAAAAAGAATTTGGTTGCATTGATTAGAAATCTGGTAGATTCAACCAGTCGTCTGTTAGAGAATGGACGAAACCAGAATTCTTTTTGGATTTACCAGATGTGTAGTGAAGTCTTTCAAACTTCTACATGGTTATGAAATATCGAGCCCTATCGTGATAACTAGAAATTCTGTTTGGTTTAATACGTAAATACGTTTTATCATACACGTCTTGTTGATACAATCAAAGCCTCTTTCTCAGTTTAGTTATCGAAAAAGTGTAACTGTTTGTGAGTTGTTACAGTTACAGATGGAGAGAAAGTAACGAAGTTAAGTTAAAGTTACCAAAACAGTAACTATAACTGTAGCTTCGTTACAAATAACGAGTTACTTCCCAACCCTGATTATAACTATTTATCGCATGTCTCGCCATCGATGCAAATCCGGCGCGGTTGTGTGCCGCGCTACTCTATGTTGCGGTAGGCGCATTTGAAAGTTAAACATTCAAATGAACGATTATATTATTCATCTCACGCATATTTACGCCGGTCTCATCCGCGGGGAAGGGGGGGAGGGGAGAGGGAGAGATAAAACCCAATTCCCTATCGGAGCATATTAGCTGGACTTTAAGTCAAGGTGAAACGAATTATCGCTCGTTCCGTTAGTCTCCTTCCTTCAATTTTGTTTTGGCTGGAAAGATCGAGGCCTCGTATTCGATCTTACTTCGAGTTCATCTTAAGTAATGTCTTAAGATGCCAATACGGCTCTGTGATTGGTTTATAACATGTCCGGTTGCACCAACGTCGCTTAACTGTAACTTTAGCTTAATTCACTCTTTGTCTCTTCCTAAGGGAAACAGTAGAAAGAGATGTAGAGCGAACCAAATTAAACTTCCGTCACGTTGGTGCAACCGGGCCTAAGACCGTACAGAGAATTTGTTCTTAAAATTTATCCTGAAAATCATGTAATCGTGGGACAACGTGGCATTTCAAAGAATTTTCTGAGACAAGTTGGTTTCTTCAAATTGCTAGTATCAATAATAAAAATTCAAAATTTAATTCGACCTCAGCTGGCCACATATATTAACATAACTTTCGCGACGTGCCGACCCTTATCAAGTGCGATCTAAGAATTAATATTGTACATATAAATTAGATGAGATGCACAAACGCAATTGCAGAGTATCGCAGAATAGTCAGTTTTAGGTCTACCTTGTTACGGAGTCAAGTCGATTACAATTTTATGAGTTTTGAAACTTTACCCATACATTTCCCTAGTAATTATACTTCGTATACATTTCACTAGTAGAATGTTTAGTAAAATTTCAAAACACTCTCATACAGTTCTTCAAAATGCCACATTGTCCCACGATTACATTATTTTCAGAGTAAATTTTAAGAGAAAATTCTCTCGGTGTACTTGACGGGCTCAAATATATGAACGGACTATGGATACCAGTCCGAGAGTCGCCCGAAGGAGACGAAGGGGTCAAACGTCAATTCTCGGATTATCTCGTTTGACGAGAAAGATCAACGCGATCGCGACACTGGGTCAGGGTCTACTGGCCGCTATCGTTTGCCTATACTTTGTTTATTTTTAGAAGATATCCGCTTACCTAGCCGCGATACGATGGAAGACAGATCGCGGGACACGTCACTTTCATTGAACGCAGTTCTAGAACGCGGAGCCAACTCTAAGAATCTTAAACCTGATCTACAAAGTGTGTTTTTTAGAAACAAAGAGACATTTTATTTTGCTGCTAGCAAATTAAAAAATTCGTGCAACTTGACAAGCTGTAATTGCACAATCGTACATTGTCGACAGATTCTTTCAAACATATTGATTTGCTTTATACGAAATAGAATGTGAAGAAGACTGCGCAAGCAGATTTCAGATATCTTAATGTCGGGTGTTGGTCATTAAAAAAAAATTTTTTTATCTTATAAACCATGGAACTACAAACGAAATGCTACCAGATTCCGTAAAAAGATTAAATTTCGAAAAGTCTGGTGCCAGGTTTCACATAGCCAAAGGCCAATGCGAGTCTAAGGCAGGTTGTGGATAGCCTTTCCTTGTAGTTTTAGTAAATTTTTTCGAAAAGTTCCACAATACGCGTTCTATCGCGTGACGTGGGCGAAATAGCGTTAGCAGCCGGTCGCGATAATTTTCGCCTCTCCGGAGTCGTTATCGTTATCGCGCGCGGCCATTCCCGTCAATTTAAATGTTCAACTTATTTCTTATATTTTTCCCCCAATAGTCCTCTCACTGTCTATTCATTCATCCCCTCGAAAAACCTCCCGGACGACGCAATCGCTCTCGCGCGCTTTTCGATTCGCGATGATTCGTCGCGGGTCACGAGAAAAAAAAGAGAGAGAAAGGAAAAAAAGAAAAACGTACTTCGTCTTCGCTCGTTGGCGACGCAGTTGATGATTGCAACCGATTTTTGCGCGATTGCGTTTCTACATGGGAATTTTGCCTCGACGAGGAAGATTTTAACGAGAACTTTTTGAGACGGCGGTCGGACACCCCGAGTCATCGCGCGCGTATACACGATTTATTAATTTTTTCTCTTTTTTTTCCTCTTCTATTTTTTTTTTTAATTGACCTTTACGGCTGCGGCCCCGAGAAACCATGCGCGATCTCCCGAATTGCGGCGAGCAACCCTCCGGATCGGACTGGGAGGACTTCGCGAAAAGGATAGGTAAAGGAAAAAAAGTCTCGGTCTAGTCTGTATCGCGGGGGTGAACTCCACAGGCCCGTGGTCACCAACGCAGCTCTTCAGATACACAGGCGTTCCGCGAGCGCACGAAGAGGGATGCGCGGGACGAGCTGCAGCGCGAGCTCGAGAAGCTGGAGGCGACCATCTGCGACAGCACGAAGGCGTTGTTCGGCCGGCAGTTCGCCGGCTTTCAGCACCTATTCGAGCGATTCCTGCAGGAGGAAGGCCCGTCCTTGGAGTGGGACCACATCCAGAAGCTGCCCGAAGATGCGGTGAGTCAAACCCGATAGCGCGGAAGCGGCGAGATTATCGCGAGAGGACATCTAGCCCTTCTCATTTCTTTCTTGGAAGAAATACAAACGATATCCTGTGCGGGTCTTTATCAAATCAAATTATGCCTCTTCTTCATAGGTCAAGGATTACAACTCTTTGCCATCGCCGGAGACGAACGAGGTGAAGGAGCTACTGGATAAGCTGGTCGTAGTCAAGTTAAACGGTGGTCTTGGAACGAGCATGGGATGCCACGGGCCGAAATCGGTTATCGCTGTACGAAATGGCCTCACGTTTCTTGATCTCACTGTTCAGCAAATCGAGGTACGGTAACAGTTTACTTTTATCATTTACATAATTAAATTTACATAAATTGATCAACCCTGAAATTGTAACGACTAATAATTGATAATGCGTTTCTATCGCAATAGCATCTGAATAAAACGTACAACGCTAACGTGCCACTCATACTGATGAACTCGTTCAACACGGACGACGATACGCAGCGCATAATTAGGAAGTACAAAGGAATCGATATAGATATCTACACTTTTAATCAGAGCTGTTATCCGCGCATAAACAGGGACTCCCTCCTCCCGATCGCCAAGCACTGTCAAATCGACGAGGACATAGAAGCGTAAGACGATTTTCATAAAGCCGCCACGAACGTTTCGTTTAACGTTGATGCAAAGTAACGTGCAATTTGTTAACAGCTGGTACCCACCCGGCCACGGAGACTTCTACGAGAGTTTCCAGAACTCTGGGTTACTTAAAAAGTTCATTCGCGAGGTAATGAGATCCCATTTTCGGCCTTCGCAACTAATAACCATGATTCGCTTAACGGAAACTCGGGTTCTTTCCAGGGCCGCGAATATTGTTTCATGTCGAACATAGACAATCTTGGTGCCACGGTGGATATTAAAATTTTGAAGTCGTTGTTGAGCAAGAGGCCGGAACCGCCGCTTGAATTTGTGATGGAAGTAACCGACAAAACGCGGGCGGACGTCAAGGTGCGTTTCGCGAGAACTGCGGAATTCGTCGTGGATCCCGCGCAGAGATCTTGATTGTATATTTTAATTTTTGCAGGGCGGTACACTCATAAAATACGAGGACAAACTTCGCCTCCTTGAAATAGCTCAGGTTCCCAAGGATCATATCGACGACTTCAAGTCCGTCAAGACATTCAAGTATTTCAACACCAACAACCTCTGGATTAAACTTAGTGGTGGGTACAACGTTTAGACTTGTCACGCCACACGCGTGCGATATAATAAAATATTCAAGCTGTGTTTAACACACGTCGCTCTTTAAACAGCCATTGAGCGAGTGCTCGAGCAGAAAGCGTTGAACTTGGAGATCATTGTGAACAACAAAACTTTCACCAATGGTCTAAATATAATACAACTTGAAACAGCTGTGGGAGCCGCTATGAAAGCATTCGAAGGAAGTGTTGGTAAGTTCGGAGAGATAACAGCCCTTTAATAAAATCGTTCTTTAGTCTGAATCCCTTATCTCTTCAGAGATCCCGCTCAATTCTGTATTATCTTACATTGCTTCTGTACACGATTGTACGTTATTAAGAAAATGTTTATTTCCTTGTTGCAGGTATAAATGTACCGCGCAGTAGATTCTTGCCGGTGAAAAAGACCTCTGATCTGATGCTGGTAATGAGTAATTTATATACGCTGCGCAACGGATCTCTCGTAATGAGCCCTCAAAGGATGTTCCCCACAACGCCTCTCATCAAATTGGGGGACAATCACTTTTCAAAAGTCAGTAGAATTGACGCTTACCGACGCTACTCTTCAGCATCGCCACAGCGATTCAGGTCTTGCTAAGCCCCTTTTCCCCTTTCTCGCAGGTAAAAGAGTTTCTCACCAGATTTCCAACAATACCGGATCTCCTCGAGTTGGACCACTTGACTGTGTCGGGCGACGTCACCTTCGGAAAGGGGGTGACGCTGAAAGGCACCGTCATCATAATCGCCAATCACGGGGAACGCATAGACCTGCCTTCTGGAACCGTTTTAGAAAATAAAATTGTGTCGGGCAATCTACGCATACTGGATCACTGAGCGCTAATGTAGGCGTTAGGCAAGGAAGTGTTTTTGTTTTTTTTAATTCGTCCCGCGGAGATCGCGCGAATGCCCGTGCTCTTCGGCAATCATGTCTTAGCTTAAATTAACTAGTCAAGCGATTCAATTGTATATATTCATAATATTATTTTAGAAAGGGCCGAAAATATATTTCTATAGAAATTATTTTATCGAATTGTGTATATAAGAGCTTGTATGAGAATTTAATCGTGAGATATCAAGAAAAGGAAATTTATAATACATTAAGTATACACTGTTGTGTAGGCGCGGCGGAAGCTTACATGTTATTCTATTACAATAAATAAATGCTCTTTTAAATCTCGCATATTCACTGCCAAGAAACCTCCCTCCGGTATGCTGAGCAGAGCGTAACGGGCGATTTAGAAAGCAGAAGCCGAGTGCGTCGGCCGGCAAAAATTACACCGCTGAGTCGAAATAACGGGAGCTAATTAAAATTATCCAACGTCAAATTCAGGTCGACTGTATCGGGCAATTTTAATATTAAAGCATCGCGACGCTTCGACCGTGGTTTCCGGTCCTTTTCAAGCGATCTCGGACGACGCAAATTAAAATCTACAAGTTACCACGTGGATACAACAAACAATCCGAGATATTAAACTAACGGTTACCTGCGACAGCCGTGTACACGAAATTATCCAATTTAAAAGCATCGGGACCAATTCTTTCGCCCTTCCGTGAAAATATTGCACTTTTATTCGCACGCTATTTCCCCCATCTCCCCCCTCTTCTCTCTCTACCGACCCCCTCCCCTCCTTCGTAAGATTAGTGTCATCTAGCGATGCACGACGAATTTAATCAGTCGAAAACATCGTGACCGACGAGCTCGCGAATCCGCAGTGCCTCGCGATAGCCCCACGATAGCCCGAGCGAGCTAATGGAGGACAGCGATGTGTTTCGATAGGACACGCGATCGGGAGTTGACGTTGGCCGCGTACGCGGCGTGAGGCGTATCCCTCTCTTCCATGCCCGTCGTCCCGGCGGCGTCCGACAACTCACGCAGGTAAGCGGAGTCCCTGTCCGCGCGAAAAGGGGCCGGGAACGAGGGAGTCGCGGCGGCGAGGAGGGGGACGGGGCGACGAGCGGGCGGGGGCGGGGGGGGATACGGGGAGGAGGCACGCAAATTCGGAATTTATCTCGGTGCGACAATGCTATTCCGGGCCGTCCAGCGATCGGCTCGTGGCCTGGACCGATCCCGTTGAGAAATGAGGCGCCGCCAGGTCTGACGGCGGGACACCGTCGCCCGAATTAGCGAGGCGTCGCGCTCGCTAATCCCCCTGGCCGTAATCCGCGCTGCCGCCTGTCGCCGAGAGAATTGGTCTGGTTGCGAACAGTACGGGGCCGCCTTTAACCTACCTCGGCGACGTAATGTAATCGCGAGAGCACGGGACTGTGCCCCGGCGAGAGCGCGCGGCGGAGCAGCGCCGATCGTGATTCTGAGCGTGTCCCGGCTCTCACCGCGACGTGCAATTGCGACGGAAGTGCGATAATTGTTCGGCTACGCGGGCCGCGTCCCCGGAAACGGTCCGGGACCCGGGCGACCGCGGCGCGCGTTTCGCGCGCGACCGGAGGATCCCGGCGGGGAAGCGGCGTCGCTCCCGCCCGCGGGGCGAGAATATCGAGTCGTCGAGATTCGGCCCGCCGTTCAGGTTAGGAAATCTGTCATATCGACGAGATGCAAGGACACGAGCACCCTCCGCGGCCACGTGCGCATGCCCCGCGGTCGCGCGCGCACGCCTCCTCTCGGTCGCGCTCGACGCGAAGTCGCGCGAGAGCTCGAGATTTAAATTCGGCGACTTTTAAACCCCGGCGGATGCGTTGCCCGGCGCGAGGAGACTCCGGGCCGGTCGCACGGTGCGGGCTCGGCCCTTCCCCCGCCTGCCGCGGCTCGCGTCGCCACGTCCCCCCGGTGTGACGGGTTTCCTAACCTTAGCCCCGAACAATGGTCAACTTTGAACGATTGACGCCCCGCGCTCCGCGGGCCAGAGCGACGCTGCTTTCCGCCCGATTCCTTCGTGTCTCGTGCAAAAACGCCGCGGCGGGAGCCCGATTTCGTCGACTGCGGAAGTGAGGCGGCCCGAGCCGAGTAACCCGGCGAGAAATGACTCGTCGGTCGAAACGACGTCGGGTCGACGTCGAGCGACGAATAATTTCCCACCGGGAGTCGCCCTCTCAGGGCTGCGCGCGCTCACACGTGCCGTAATGCAGCTCGTGATCTGTCCGCAGGCGTTGCAAGGACACCCGGCTAAATGGGGAAGCCCAAGAAGAAACCGGAGCTGCTCCATCGCAGCAAGTCGCGCAATATACTGCGCAACCTGATGCTGAGGGACTTCGGGCTGCACACGACGCATAAGACCAGCACGCGCGAACTGGAGCCGATAGCTGAAGCGAACTTTGTGCTGAGGGACCACAAGGAATTGGTACGCGCTTCGTATACCCGGTCGTCCAATCGCTACATAACTTGCGCCGTGTTCACTTTGCGAAGACTCAAGTAGATGTAGACTGTGATCCACTTGTAAAGTCTATCGCGCAATAGGAAAGCGCGGGCAATAGAAGTAACGAATCCCCAACTTACCAGAAACCGTGTATCGACGGCACAATGGAATGTGGCGTCGATAGACCAGGCGATAAGAACAGAATGTCAGACGCGTTGGATTTCTATTCCCCTATTCCCTGTACCCGACCTACCTGACCAATGTTGAGACTCGCACGTGGTTTCAAAAAGCAGTTGATTAGATCGCACTCCTGTTGCCGACGAATCATTGTGACTTGGCGTTACATAGGTTTCTATACCGTATTTCTACTCCTTATTCCTGTTGCCTGTGCTTTGCTATTGTGCGATAGGCTTAAATGCTTCAAAGCGTTCTTTCTTTATTAAATCTTGAGGCACTTGCAGCGTCGCAACAGTAGCGATAAATTCCCGGTAAAATGGATCCTCCTACAACAACTTTTGTTCTCCAAGCCTATCGGTTTCTAATGGCCGAGCTAATAGATGATATATTTGTTGCTGCATATGTTGCAGCGAGCTATCAAGTGTTATCTGTTTACTTGCAGAAATGCGAATTACCTGGCGTTCCTAGAGCCACTTTCCTAATGGTTTTCAGTCCTGATGGGTAAGATGTTAGAAAGTAACGCTGGCAGATTGAGGAGGATATGATACGCGACGCACGCGCTACTTTTATCTCTAATAATGCGACGGTGGAAATTCGGGAGAATCACGCGGAGCAATGATTTCAGGACCATGGTAGCATCTACGCATGGGAATCACAATATTTATATCACGGAAATTACAACGGGGAAGAATATCAGAACTTTGTCCGGGCACCCACGTACTCCCTGGTGCATAGCTTTCCACCCGTCCTCCAGTCAGATCTTGGCGTCCGGCTGCTTAGGAGGTCAAGTCCGCGTGTGGGATTTAAGCGTGAGTATCCTTTTTCTCTTTATTTTGCGTGATGATCCAGCGACGATGCGTTTAACGACTCGCAATGCAAATTCGTTCGTGTAGGGTGGTAGCGAGATCTGGAATGCCGACAGTCATACCGTTATCGCCTCGCTCGCGTTCCATCCCTTTGAAAGATTGTTAGTTATAGCCACGTATAATGAAATCCACTTCTGGGACTGGAGTAAGTCTCAACCGTTCGCCGTAACTGCTACAAAGACTGAAAAAGAGAAAGTGAGGTACGCATACTTTAATAGCGGCTCGCACCGTAGACTGCGACGCGGGAGAAAAGATGTTCGCACGAGAGACTGTACTTTGTACGTTGTAAAAATTGCAGATACGTAGCCTTCGACAGTTTAGGAAGAAAACTAATCACTGGCATCGCGAACACGCCGCAAGTACAATCGCAATGGGACCGAGCTCCCGTGGGACAGTTACTTAGATCTAGTTTGATGTGAGTAAAGCATGAGTATCGCGCGTAAAAATACATTTTAGACATTCAGCATTGATATCCCTTTCAGTTTTAAATGAAAAGCTCGAGTATTGCAGTATATAAGAGCAACGAAATATTTATATTATAAATCTAATCACATTTTCTGCTTTCAATCATTTTTACGGTTAAATAGGTGAAAGTAAAGTTTAGCTTTGCATCGTGTCACTTTTCGTCGACAAATCTATATCTTTTTACCTTCGTCATATGTACGTTACTTCAAACAGCACTTTAAGTTTATACAGTAACTAATGCCGAAAAAAAATTAGGAACTTTAGGTACCAACCACGAGAGAATTTCGCGGATATCGAACTTTCGCCCTTTCACTTGTGGAACCATAGCTCCTTTTACGGGAGAGGATCGGCGGACAGTCATGCTGCAGATAGAACTTCCCGGTACTTAAACTGTCGAAAAATTATCCAAGTCTATCGGGAGATTTGCGAAATTTAAATATATAAATTCTTTCAGTGCGTATCTGTTTATGCGCAGAGGCCATGAAATGTCCAGCTTCTCGCGATTCGCCAATCATCGTCAACAGTTTAGAAATAACGCGCGGCAGGAGGAGTCGCGGTTTTTTCGGCGACGTAATCTATCCGAAGGTACAGTATGCTATCATAACGAATACTGCGTTGTGACGCGACTCCACCTACCTTTAGCAATCGGGATTCATCGTAATAGTTTTGTGCCTTGCAACGTAGAACTGAGTCAAACTAGGGAGGCTACGTCTTCTCCAAGCATTATGAGAAATCCATCTCGCCCGACCGGCAATCCAGCGAGCGCGGACAATGCCGAGAACAGATCGGCGGACGAGAGTAACGACGACGACGTGCTGCATCTCCTTCGGAGGAGCAATCGAGATTCCACTGCGATAAACAACTCTGCTTTATCGGACAACGTGTGGGTCGGCGTGGACGAGAGGTTGGAACGTGGACGTGGGAACAGTTCGCAAGATCCGGAGAGGAGAATAAATCTATGCTACAGAGATCTCGTCGATCAATACGTGACGCTCGTAGTTAGACATTACTTTGACGTTTCAAGAAACAGAGATACGGTGAGCTATGCCATTATTCGCAGCTCCATCAGAATTTGTTTTCCCTCTAGCAACCGTGCCTAAAGAATATTTCGATTCTCTTTGAAGATCGACCGTGGCACCGACCCCATGGATATGCCGGAAGCATCGTCCTCCAATCCCGCGGAGTCTAGCAACAGAAACGAGTCGGCGGCGACCGAATCGTCCATACGAAGATTGAGGAACGAACTGAATTCCAGCGCGCAAGCGAACAACACGAATCTAGAAAGGTTGCAGCGGTGCCAGCGATTACTGATGGAACGTTCCGAGCAGGAGGAGATCGGAACTACTCTTCAGAATTTGAGGGAGGCGCTGAACGTCGCCGCCGAGAATAATAGCTCGTGCCTGGTGCGACTGCAGAAATTGCGGGAGAGGCTGCAGCGTCAGACCGCGACTTTATTCGAACACTCTAACAACCGTAACTCACGCCTGCAGCTGCTTCAAAATGCCTTGAACGAGATCGAAGCGCTTAACAACATGGAGGCGCAGTTCACTAACACGAGTTCGAGGATCGAGCGATTGCGGGATGAATTCACAATGTACGGTATTCTGCCGCGAAATCGGCATATCGCGACCGATCCTTCGTCGGTGAATTTAAGCGAGGCCGAGTGGCGAGCTCTCACCCCGAACGACGGACAAATGCCCAGCACTAGTTCCGCATCATCAGTTTTGTCCTCGAGGCCGGATTTGGAATCCGTCGGTGCGTTTCCCAGCACGAGTTATGCCGCTGAGAACGAGGAGCACAGCACAATGTGGTCCGATGCCAATAACAGCGAAAACGCCAGTACCTCGTCAAGAAGTACTGGCAGAGCAACGAGGAGACGATTTGACGCCTCGAATACGGAGGACGAACCGCCGAGGCGGCGAAAGCGTAGGACGCTGGGGTCTATTGAGTTTTCCATACCAATGCCGTTATCCTACAGCATTGGTAATATTTCTGCTTGAACACAACTGCACATAGAGAAAAATAAGATTGCCACTGTTGTGACTCAATATCTATCTGTTGTTCCAGAGGACAGCTCATCTTCGAGCGACGAAGGCTACGTGCCTTCATCGACATCCCGTAGTAGCGCATCCAACTTTACAGTCTCAACTCACTCGGCGTTTCAGCCAAACGTACCCAAGTCCGCCGCGCAACGAGCGAGCAGCTCGCAGAATCAAGACGCGACAGCTAGTTCTTCCAGATTGGACGAGACAGATAGGAACAATTTGCTTGACAATTCAAACAATAACGAATCAAACGAAGATAACAATCAAGATAATAGGACATCGAGAGCAACGCGAAATACGCAAGAAACGAGATCTCAAGAGCCCAGTCGCAGGCAGGGGTGAGCGTACTTCCTTCAATCTTTCTTTTTCCGAGTTTTAAAATGCTTTGTTCACATTCTTTTCGCACAGCTTATGTACATCTTTGAAGATGTCATATATGTATTTGAAATTTTTAACATTTAGAAATTCGCCTTTACTCAGGAGAGTGATCGACGTTCTGCAAATCCTCCGAAGTTTGCACGGGGATCGAGTAGAAAGCAACAATACTACTCAGCAAGTATTACTAGACGACTCGGAGAATGGATATTGGCTGCTCGAGGAGAACAGTAACTCGGATTCGAATTTGGACGATGCGAACTCAAACGCCAACTCGAGCTCTCGTCGGTGGACCAGTCGTTGGATACAGCTGGATACTTCTAGCAGAAACTCAGAGTACCCCAACGACTCACCGAGCGACCTAGTTCTACAGAGGTCCTCGATAGACGCGGATCAAAGTGCCAACGACAGGCACAGAGAGCAAAGGAATCAGTTGTCGCCGGTGTCTGCGAATCCAACTCGCTACGAACAGCCGCCGTTGTTCCCGTTCAGAAGTTTACGAGAAAACCAATCCCAGAGAGTGGAACAGAATCAAACGTCCAACGGTGGCACCGACAGCGCTCCGCCTCAGCCGCAGACGTCCGATCCGGGCGCGACGTTGGCGGGATTCGCGGAATTGTCGAGAATGGTCAACAATCCCGTTGCAACGAGAACCGCCAGCGTGACTAACCGCGAGGACAGGTCGCCGGCAGCGAGCGACAGGCAACAGCAGCAGAGTCAGGAGCAACGAAACGCAGATGACCCGGATCTCGACTACATCACGGATCCGATAATGCTCGGCGCTGACAATATAGATCCGCGAGAGAGTTCGCTGGGAGTTCGACAAGGGATCCAGTTGCTCAGTCGTCACATCGACAACATGCACCGCTTGTGCCGGTAAGCTTACGATGCGATGATGCGAGATTTTACATGGCCACATTTTTTTTCGTTTAGCATTTAAACTGGAAATAGAATACTCGAATAAACGCGAGATTATTGTAGAGATATTTTTTATACCACCGTTGAAGCAACCTTAGAAAATGAATTACAACGCTTTATGCTCGGTTCTTTTCGTTTTTGTGTCGATCAAAAATAATTCCCTTGATTTTCTTTCCTTAACAGAGCACGCTTGGAGATAGTTCAGCTGTGTCAAGTGCGCAAAATGTGGGAGGATCTGCAACGACAGATACGATCGTTGCACGTGACGGTCCGCGTGGAGAGGCAGAACGGCGATCAGGCGGAGGCGCAACGAGACGACGCGGCCGGCAATCCTGTTCCGTCGACGTCGGTCGCGGGTCCGTCGAGTGAGTTTGCGAGGAATTTCAAGAAAATGCTGCTCGAGACCTACCAGAGGGAGAGCAGCGAGGGTGGTTGCGCCAATGCGAGGTTGTACGATCACAATCAGCCGTCGACGTCGACCGGAGTGACCGGTCAAGAGAGAGGTCGCGAGGACGAGCCGACGTCCAGCGCCCGTAATATCGAGGAGAGCACCAACATAAGTCTCTCGAATCTGCTGCCGAGCGACGCCGAGTTACGGCGGATGGAGCGTCTCAAGTTGAACGAGATGTTGGACGGCTTGTACGCGCGGCTGACCTCGCGCTGCCAAAACTGCGACTCGCGGGTCGCCGACGCGCGGGCGATGAACGACCACACGTACTCGAGCTTGACGACCGACGGCGGCGACGAGCAGCTGCCCGGTATGTCCGGCGTCGCGTCGAACGTCGGAGCTAATGCGAATCTGCCGGACGCAACTGCGCCGACCGAGTCGGAACCGTTACCCAGCATCTCGAGTTTCGTCAGCGGTCTCGACCGTGCCGGTCCCAGTAGATCTTCCCAGGCGTCGGACGCGAATACTGATTACCCCGTCCCCGGCGATGCGGCCGACAACAGCAGCAGCAGCAGGAACGACGATAGTAACATCAATGTTACCCTAAGGCAGTATCTAACGAATCAAAGGGAACGAACCAATAGGACTTCAGCTTCCACGTTGTCGTCCGAGTCGTCCGCCAGATATAACAGACTGCGCGATAGACAAAAGATATATCTCCGGTATTTATGTGCATATATTCTGCGGGAACGGTGTGTTTTAAATTTGTTTTAAAAGAGTCAATTAGATCTGTCTTTAATTAATGAATTTATGAAAATAAGCGATTTCGGATTTATAGTTAGGTCATTACTTAAAAGTGAACTAACTCTTTCATGCGAGAAAAATTTTACACGCAAATTTATTCAGTTGAAGAAATATAATTAGACATAATAAGACATGTTTTAATAATTAAACTAAACGCACTGTAATTGCCTCTCTAAATCAATTGTAATCTCATTAAACGTACTTCACTTTTCAGACGTTTAAAATTGTGGTCGCTGAAATGGTCGCATCGTGGTCGACAAAGTCCTAGGTCTCAGTCGGCCAACAGTCCGTTTCAGCACGTCAGAAGACCGTGGTATTTACGCAGGAATGCAACTCAGAACAGAGGCAGCAGTAACAACGACAATGTAGACGCAGATACAGACACGCGGGATAGAACGCGTGGTTCGAACACATCTGAGTATCTGCAGAAGATGATCGTACGGCTGAAATTGCTGGTCCAGCAGCAGAGGGCCTTGGCCCGGAACAGCAACAGACGGTTGAGTGGTAACAACCGTCAATCGGAAACTAACAGAGAGAACGATAATCGGGAGATGGAAGAGATTCGCGAAGCCACGAGACTGAGAGCTAGGTAGGAAGCACAGCACGTAATATTTTGTGTTGTGGTATATTAACATTAAAATATCGAGCAAGTGTACATCACTTTCAAGACTCGTTCTGCATCGTGATCAGTAATATATTCGGGCCAATTAATATTATTTCAGACAAGTGCTCGGCTTGATGGTACGGTCTCTGATCCAATTCTTCGAAGTAACGAGATCAGGAAACGGTTCCCAAAGCAACGTTCTCTATGAACAGATGTACAGTAAGTTTATCGTGCATTATACAGAACTATTGATTTTCGAAATGTAATAATTCCACATTAAAAAGCAAAGCTCGAAGCGTACGATAAAATTTTTCCATTACGTGCAGTGTCGTCTTCAAAAGAATTGTTAATTCTGAATATTGAGAAGTTAAAATTACTTACTGATTTTAAAAAGGGAAAAACAATATCTGAATGTGTGAGTGATTTTATGGAAAATATGAGTTTGTATGAAATAATTCCATGTTTTCCACATTCTCTAGATTACGCATCTCTTGTTAAGTCGCGTTTCTCTTTCCTCCCAGAATTGTACGTATTGTTACATCTGGCACTGGAGCTGACAGACTTGCTGCTGGCGCAGTTGGTAATAACAAGACGAGAGCTGGAGTCTAGTCAATATGGACCCTTTACCTCCGATTTATCGGTTGACAACCAAAACAGAGGCGACACACGCGGTAATAACAACGTTGACAATAACCTGCAGTTTTTGCCCCAGCGGCTGCTGGCCTTGTCGGAAAGTTTGCAATGCACGGGCGATAACGCGCCGGGACGATGCTCGGATAGAGAAAGATTGCCGAGAAACCGCGGCGAGGTGCCAAATGGAGAAGAGCCCCTTTCACGGCACACGACGGCACACTGGAACAGCCGGGAGGCATTAGCGCGTTTCCGCGCTATGCAGTATCGTCATCTAGGTCAGAACGGTAACGCGGGCGACAACACGCCGAGACGAAGCGCGGACAGAGAAAGGTTGCCGAGGAACTGCAGCGAAATGTCAAACGAGCTAGAGTCAATCTCACGATACGCGATGCTATTGAGGCACGGGCCGCAGGCACTACCGCGTTTCGACGTTATGAAGTTGATACAGCTATATCGTTTTCCAACTCAAAACATTAATAACGTGTCCGAGAACCAAACCAGCAATCCAGCGGCAGCTAGACCTAGCGATAACGATGACGATAGCGGTAACGATAATAATTACGATGATGCGCAAAGCGAGGATAATCGCCAATCGACTTCAGAAAACGCCCTGTCGGCGGAGGTGCAGAGCATCGTCGAGAGAATCCAAAGCAGCAGTTCGATCGACAACGACGACCGTGGTGACGCCAGGACGGGAGTTGAGACTCGTGCAAGAGACACCGCGAACGAGCTGCGAAACTCGTATGAGAGCTACAGGCGGTGTTTCCGAAGTGCTACGGTATCCGAGCCGGCGGTGAGACGCATCAACGAATCGAGGGGTTCGCAGGAGACCGACTCGAACATGTATCCCGGCGAGAACTACTGGAGGAACCTCTTTTCTCACACTTCGTCGGGAGATGAACAACAAAGCGCCAGACCGTTGCATCAGAGGTCCCGTTGGGCTCGCCAATATGCGCGGGGCGCGTACTCGATGCTCGAGCGTCCTTTGCACAGATACGGTAGCTCCGACCCGAATAACAATCGCCGATTCCCTCACAGCAGGGAGGGCGCGTCTCTCCGACGAGAATTTAACGTTCCTGAGCTGCAGGTGAATAACGTGCCTGTAAACGACTTGGACAATCTCTCTGGTAATCCGCGAAGAAGGCAGACCACGCCGCCGACTCCGCCACACACGCCTCCGCCGTTCTTGATCAATAATTTCCTCTATAACGCCACTAACAGGGGTAACGATCGGACAAACGAGTCCACGGATCAGCCTGGACCAAGTTGGGCCGGACAGTCGAACAATAATAGAAACTCGGTATGGCATAGATTTTGAAACGTTGCGTTTTCACTCATAGTCGATTATTCTAACGAATAATTATGATTCCGTAAATTTGCGACTATTCTCATGATTTATATTTCCGTGCATTTATTTTGTATTTAAGTCTTACAAAAATTGATATCCCACAAATAATATTTGATGTCCATTCGTGAATTACTTTTTATTTCGCCGATACTTGCATTGATAAATGATAGGTTCGATTGTTGAAGGCTTGTTTGAAGGATACATTCTTTCTAATTGTTAACTTTTTTTGTATCAGGTGTTTACTCCAACATTACTAACGTTGTGGCGCAATCGAGTTGGGATCAACCCTCCCTGGATACCTCGTGAAATCGTGACTAATACAGGGTCACGAATTGGAGGAGGTGCTTCTGCCAATCCCAGTAATGGTGGTGGCGGCGGTGATGATGGTGGAGATGGAGGAGGAGCAGGAGCAGGAGCGGGAGCGGGAGCGGGAGGAGGTAGTGGTGGAGGTGGAGGTGGTGGTGGAGGAAGAGGAGGAGGAGGAGGTGGAGGTGGACAGGATCCAGGAAATGATGAAAACGATTATTATTGGGACTTTGGTACATTTTTTCCCAAATATATTTTTAGATACATATCTAATACACACGTACAGAATGGTCTCCTATTGGTAGCGCAATCGAGAGATACCGATGATTTTATTTCAACCACAGTTATTAAAGTGCGAACAAGGATATATTTAGTTTAAAAAGAAATGATACAAGTTTATTATCTTATTGTATAAATAAGATGAATAATATTCGACAACTTTAAATACTTCCTACTGTTCTTGAAACGTCTTTCACATCATTTCTCACTTCGATAACGTTGCGCAATTATGTTAGTGTAAAAGTAACAAGTTTAAAAATAACAAGATGTTACTAACTTGCGACTTCTAAGATCTACTTTCTCGGGAACAAATTCTCATAAAATCTCTCAAAAATTTGTCATCTTTCCTTTTCCTTCTACTTTTTTTCTTAATATAAAATTGCCACTAGTGACCGATCCTTTAGAACTTAAATACTAAATTTATTTTATACACATGCATATGCAATATATGTGAAGATGTAAAAATCAACCAATTTCTTAGAACAACATGTACCTGTATATTCATCGGGTATGCAGTTCAATCCATCGTTGGAAATTCAGAGTTATCGCGTTCAAGCGTGGGACTTCTCCAATGGTGACATACCAGATATTACAGATTGTTAGTAAAAACTATCGAATGTAAATTATTAATCATAATCGCACTCCTTTTCTGCGTACGCTTATACATGCCGATACGATTTTTTCAGCTGAGAAAAACATCGTGGTGCCCGAATGTAAGATTCACAACGATACCAGTATCGATATATCTACAGATGGGAAATTACTGGCGACATTTTTGCAGGCTGGCCGTATTAATGTGACAACCACTTTAGGTAAATGCGGAAAAAAACATGTATATGTCGAAATATTAACGATTCCTTCTCAGTGCGCGTGTACTCAGCACTTCTTTTTATCTTGAAAGGATAATTTCTTATTTTTGCATCCCATCTCTTTCACGCCAATATAATCTTGCGGGGGGATATTTTTAAACGATAACTTTTCTCCCACAAGGGGCAGAATTATATTAAAACAGTATATAAATAATATGAACTTATCCTGTTCTTTGTGCATTGCTATGCAATTTTTTCGTTACTTATACAAGAAACTGAATAAAGTAAAAACTCGATTTACTATAAATTGTCGAAAGGCTACAGCTGTGCGGTTTGCTTCTTCGGTTTAGGTATTTACAGTCTGCAATGGGAAACGCTGGGTGAAAAGATTTATTCGACCAATATCGATCAACCGGTAGTGTCTGTCTCGATATCGCCTACGCAACAGCATCTCTTGGTAGGCTTGGCACGCAGAATTCATGTTCCCACCAGGCCTGTTCCGATGGCTCTGATTTACAAGCTGATAGAGAAGCAGCCCGACGACGAGAAAAACGTTTCGTCGACAGATCCGACCATGGAATTGTCATACGATTCCTCAGACGAGATGCTCGATGATAACGTTTCTAACAACAACACCACGAGACGAAATAATCTTACAGCCAACAATTACAGACGCATTCGCGATTGGCGGATTCGCGACATTCGTATGCGAAACGAGCTGGACATGGACATCAAACGTCATAGGGAGAGTATGGTGCTTATCCGGGAATTGTTGCAAAGCAGCCGGGAGGTTGCGAGCATTCTCAGTCTAAATTGCATCAGATGGGCGCCGCAGCCGGGCCAAGGGATGGTTTACGCGACAAGCACCGGACAATTAAATATTCTGCAGTGATTCTACGCCCGATTTTAGTAGACAGACGGAAGTAAACGTTTTCTTCGTATTATAGTGCTTACAATGAATGTGTCATACACGTAAAATGTATCGCGGTTCGCCCCCTCCCTCCCCCCTCCTCAACAAATTTCTTTTTGATAGATTGTAAGGAAGGATATATGCCAACGTGCGATGTGTGGTAATAGGTTGTTCCCGCAGTCGATTGTCAATCTCGGCAGATTGCAGTGATTGCAGTGATAAATAGCCCGAGACTGCTACGGATTACAATTCGATATTTTATTCTTTTCCATGTTGTGCTATTTCCTTATGTTCTGCAAAGAGACATAAGAATTGTATAATGTATAGATATAAAATAATATATGTTCGATCAATTAGTTATTGTATAGTTTATGTGATTTTTATATATTCTTATAATTTAAAAAGTGCTCTTTGCATCGTTTCTATTAAACTGAATTCGTAGTATACGATACTGACTGTCTTTCTTTTAGAGATGCTTCTGTTACGTCTTATAATGTGAAAGTGTGGGGAAAACTGGGTCGTTATATAATATTAACATGTATTTACCGATCGAATGAACGTTAATGCCGTCAAATAAATCATTCAGAACGTACTTCCCACTTTTATTATCTTAATCGTAAGGAATAGAGCAATTTGTCGTGCCATCTCTTTTGCAATGCTTTTATCTGGTTGACTTTTTGTCCCTTAATACTCTATCATAAGTGGAAAGAGATATTTACAAAGTGATCTTTTCAGACTATGTTTTTTTTGTTTGTTTCACCTCTTTTTTATTACGAGACGAAATGTTTATTAAAATTCCATGTATAATTTTATACATCTATACATTACATATACATATTAAACGTTTTGGCATTGCATATGATACACAAATGCAAATATACATGTCGGTCAAGTAAATAATTTCAGGCACGATTTTATTTTTGTAAGAAATTACGTCTTTCAGAAATTTGGCCCTTTTCGGAAAGATGAGAACAGCTTCGCTCGTGTATACAATTTTATCAGGTTTCGATACAACCATTGTACACACAGTCGAATAACACGTAATTGTATTTCTGTGTGTAATCGTTATCAATAATAATTTCTTTGCAGAAAAAGCACACGTCTAATACATTTTACTGTCATGCGTACGCGCGCACATACCGCTTTCTACGCTTCCAATCGCGACCCTTCCAACAAGCTGTAGCGTTAGAAAGGAAGACGTGCTGAAAACGCAAACGACTCGTGCTTTACATCTCCCAGGTAATGCTACTTTGCACGTGATAATCATACGAAAGCGTTATGTGTTTAAGCGGAAGCATTCGTTCTTTTATTATCAGGCAAAATGCAGGAAAAAGAGAGACTTCTAGACTTATCGGTTCTTTTTTTTTCTCTTTTAGTAAACGTGAAAGATGCGACAGAGTATAAATTTCATAGCCTTATAATATCTGCCTTTGTAATCGGACAATAATAAAATTTACAATAAAATAGATACAACGGGCATGTTTTATGCAGATATTTATATATACATATATATATGTACAAAACGATATTATAATGTATTGGTATATCTATTTATCACAAATTCGTATTATAAAAGCATCGGTCTCATAATATGTTAAACGTAATACTTTATTACGTGGAGTTAAAGTATGTAGGAATCTATACAGACGCTAGGATGGAAGACTTAAAGGCGACCCTATGAAATACATCACCTTCAAGCGCAAAATGTTTTTTTTTCTTCTTTTCTTTTTAGTGCTCGGGTAACTACTAACAAAGTGGTACGGTTTATGATACACACGTTTACGAATTTTACACGAATTCGGCAATTTATTTACAGGACGCAATAAGACTCGAAGATTGTCTTTATAATGAATATCTATTTATAAAAATAGTCATGCGCGTGAAAATTTATAAACATCTAGTTTTTATCAAGGAATCGGAACAGAGAGGTAAAAACGAACCGGAAATCGCGGTGCAGTACACATTCTTCTTGTATGTGTGTGTGTATGTGCAATAGTCTATACAATATAATATAATTTTAACAACGTTTTGGCATCGCACGGTGTATTAATTGCTCTGTAAAGTTGTATAAACACTTCCGCAGCATACATAGCACGTATGTATGTAGTTACCTATAATATAGTAATGCAGTAAAAATATATTTTTATTTATCGGACAGGCGAAATGAAAGATTGCCATGTGGACAGAGATTGCAAATACGTTACATTATGCTCTCATCATCCGGTATACACTATACAATGCGTTAAAAACCGAGAACGTACGTAGCTTCGCTTCGTTACCTCTCACGTACGTCGGGCCTTACAGCCGCTCTATTATAAATTCGACCGTTACAATACTCTGACTTTCGTGTAATAAAATATAAAAATAATAATAAATCGCAATTGCTCTTCCTCCGCAGCGGCATTCTGAAAATCCAACGGAACCTCAGATTACACTTCAATTCTTATAGACGTATAACCAGTCATACGGTACAAATACAAGACCTATCTTATATTTAAAGTTCTAGTCGGTAGGTACAAAATATTAAATTATATCGTACATAAGTCAATTAGTAGTATGGTACACGATTATATTAATGGTATTTCAATTTAACCTTGTTACGTAGTAAAATGTGAATATGATACAACCTCTACGTTCGCCTTCTTTTTAGTGGGCGTGTTCCTCGATGATCTTTGGAAGATTTAATTGCATGCTAGACGAAACGCAATGCTTTAGATAGCTGTCAGATTTAAATACTTTAATGTTATTAGAAATTTTATGGCCGTGGAAATGTGATCACTTCATGACTTCCTATCAAAGATTGATGAATACTTCAACGTTTCTCCGTAAAGCGTCTAAAAGTAATGCGTATTACATGATGAAAAGAACGAGCAAATGTGGACTTGAGTTAACTTTCCGATAATCCTGAATAGAACGATTACAAATAAAATTCCACTCATTAATAATGTGAAACCTTGCAAGACTGAGTAATCTTATAAGAGAAAAAAGATGCAACCCTGATATCATGGCTTATCTTTATCGCGCGCATCATCTAAAGTTATTAATCCATGGAAGTAGCGCCATATAAAAGCAATTATTCGGACTAATTTATCGTGCCCTTCATTCTTAATAAGCTACAAAGGCTGATTTGCTAATATATTTACGCTATTATATTAATATCTTATTTTAAATGGTGTTCTCGCTATGTACTATTATTCAAAATACATAAATCACTTATTAAATCCGTTGTATCGAATTAAGTGTCAACATTTTTTCTAGATTGTTATGCTGTACATTTGTGATTAAAGAAAATTCTAATAATAGCAGCGATCATTGAAACACAGCATTGAAATGAACGGTGTGCACTTGCCTTACAGAAATCTATTAAAAGTACATAGGAATATTATGTATTAAAGAAAAATGTGTAAATTTATTTCCTCTCTAAAGCCACGATTTCTCTCGTGTACACAACAGTGAGAAGATAGGCAAATCAAAGAAAATATATTAATATACTTAAAAATAATTTGGATATATCAAGATGACGTGCATTACAACTTTGGCTTGCAAATGTCTAATTGGATTATCTTGATAAATTATGACGTTCATTAACAAACGTCAACGATCTCTAATTTGAAGCGTGCTGTATGCATATTTTCACTTTTTAGAATGTTATTAGTAAATCAGCCGTAAGTTTGATTCTTATTAAATTCAGTCAATATATAAAATGCTTTGGATAATGAATAGTTGACTAATATATATATCACAAGTTATTTTCTCCCATAAGGACAGTACAGATAATGCTACCGACTATAAAAACATTTTCTTTCTCACCCTTTGTTTCGTCAGTACGCCTCACATTCTCGTATGCTTTGTTATATCCACATTTTAAGGTCCCAGACAGTAGAATTTTTGCGCAATCAACAGAAATGTATTGATATACTTATCGTCAAATAAGATTAATATTTATAGCTTTTCGCAATTAGTGGTATAACACAATTAATCGAAGTTAGGAATTGTATCTAGAAAAAGGAGACGAAATCTGAAAGTCTTCTCTATCGGAGAATCACCTCACGGTTCTTTAATGCAGACAACGGGAGTAACGCATTGGAAATTGCAACGAATTAAAAACCGTCTAAATTTTAGAGTATACAATAACATATACAATAGTTAGATTTACGATTGTTATTGCAAGCCATACTTGCGACGGAAATCCCTCCAACTTAGCCGTACATACGGTACATGTGATATCTTTACATCTAGTTTGGACAATATATAAAAACAGCTTGCCAAGAGATGTATATAATACATCAAACATTCCATAATAATTAAACAGAGATGTAACATAAATGTTTGGTACAATCCAAACGATCTCTCTCTTCCTCTCTCTCTCTCTCTCTCAAAATCATAAAAATTGATCGGTAACAATGTCTTTACAAAACTTCACGTACCTCCATTTAAAATCTGAGCAGTAACCGTGCGCCTGCGTTTTACATCCGTAAATATGTTTAAGATAAAATAGCAATGCTACGTCTAGGTCCGCCTATGCATACGTTGTCCAAGCTGGACCACTTTTTGATACCAGTACGTAGGGCCTCGGCTGTGACCTTGTCTTCGTAAACTCTGGACATAGCTTCTAGCTTCTGCGCCTTCTCCTTGCTAAGTGGCTCGCTAAGGAATGTTAACTCGTTCGCTTCCGCAAGTGTACGAAGGTCGAAGTAATATTTGGCGTATACACTCGAAGGAACATTTATGTTAAATTGCAGCATCTCCAGGAATTGCCTTTCTAATTCGTTCCTAGAAATTATAAATTCGTCCAATTAATAAGACTAACAGCTTCACGGCTTCGGTTTGTCTTATAAGCTTCGTAAAACGTGTAATAAATCTAATTGCAGGTGCAACCGAAAGAAAAAGAAGGACTTACATATCCTCCACCGTGATGTCTTTCAATATTTGACAGTAATCAACGTTCCACACCGCCTGATCGTCCCAAACTTTGGACGCCAACAAAATAGCTCCCAGCACTATTCGCTTCCAGTTAGCCGGTGTTATGTCTATCTCCGCGTAAGTAAGTAGGCGTTCAAGATAAACCAACGTTATGATGGCACATTCAGCGGTGAGCTGAGCGGCGTTAAACAGAGTCCTTATAAACTTGTATATCTGCTTATGCTCCGGATTATGCTTGTCGTAATCCTCCGAGACGCCGTCCCTCTGAAAGACAGATTTAGCGGTCAAGCGTAAACGCGTCGCGCGAGAAGAGGCCTCAGGACTTCTCCGATCTACGCCGATTGTATTAAACGAGCGTGTAGAAGAGGGACACACGAAAATATAGAATACTGGTTTGCGGAGGCGGCTAAGTGGGCAACGTCGCTATTTCTCTGGCGCGGTACCGTTAGCGGATGCAGTTTCTCGTCGAATATGTCGATCTGCCGCTGCGAGGTTCTATTCTTAATGTGGTAATAAACGGCTAAGGCAACGCATTTGACGGTATTCTTCAAGTTAGGTTGTGAGACCGTGCTGTCGTCTAAATATATTGTACTGCAGCTGCTGCTCTTCTTCAAAGGCCTTGTGTCCGCTATTTGATGTTGACTCTTCTTCCTCACCATGCCATCTGGAAAAAGGGGGAAAGGTGAGGAGCGATACGCATACACAACCATTCTGCCAGGTGTATACCCACTCTCAATAGCCTGCTTGGAGCGCTCCATGAAGATGGTACCCGCGCATGGGTGCAACGACGGATCCGAGTCCCAGTCCTCCGGCTCGCGTTCACTGATATGTTGCAAATTATTAACGCTAATCCCGCCCTCGGGCAGGTGCTCCTCCAGGTTGCGCGTGGCGCACTCGGGCCCCGCCTCCTTGCGCCCGGCCTGCGGACTCGAGTAGACGCAACAGCTATTCTTGTTCCCCATGTTCCCATGTAAGCTCCAACCGGTGCCAGTGCCCCTGCGCTCTTCCCGCTTCCCGCACTTCGCGCGCCACGGATGCGGCGCTTAGTCACACACACAGTTCGCACGCGGACGCGGGCGAGCGGGGGAGAGGAGACGCTGGCCGCGTGTATCGCGCGGAGGCGTTAGGTAGGTAGGTAGGTAGATAACGCTCGCCACCTCACATTTCGTTGTGCGACAAACGATCAGCTGACGGGGCGGCCGTTCGTGCGACTGGTGACGCGACACGCTCGTCCGCGACTTGTCTGGCTCATGTCGGCGATGCTCGCCAAAAAAAGCAACCCGCGCGACGGGGACCTCCTCGCGCAGTCCTCGCTCTCACTCTCCCTCTCTCTACCTCTCTCCCTTCCTCCCTTGCTCGCGCGCTCGCTCTCTCTCTCTCACACACACACACACACGCGCACACGCAGGCACACTCCCTCTCTCTCTCTCTCTTTCTCTCTCGCTCG